ATATATAATATATAATAATTATATAATTTATATAAAATATAAATATATAAATATACATACACACACACACACATACTGAACACTAATTGTAGCTAATTTAGAGTGTTTGGAATATGACTATTTTTTATTTTCAAATTTTGGCAATTTACAAATTTTCTAAAGAAACACAATAATAATGTCTAAACAAAAAAAAATCAACATAAATTAAATGCATGGGAAAACCTATTTAAACAATTTGCAAATAAATCCAAACTTAAATGAGAAAATTCTAGAATGGCACTATTCACCAAATACATTAATCTATTTAGCTATAAATTATCGTTTTTTTCTAAATCAGTGATCCCTGTCTTTAATTTAGCATCTTGCAGTGTTTCAGAGACTCATAAAGCTCTCAAATTAACATCATTTAATTCATTATAATTAATCTATAGCATGCAGGATGAGAAAAAAGTATCAAAATTTAAATAATAGTGTTGTACAAGTCCACACAAGAGATGAAGTCACTGCCTCAAGTATTTATTTTGGATTTCCCAGTGCTGTGAGAAATACAGTTTGCAGAATAAGGACACAAACGCTGAGACACAGAGAGAGATAGTAAAGGAAGGAGCTTCCATCTAGTTATAGTGTCTTTCTATTACTATATTAATATACATAGGACAAAGAAAAAGGAGTTAGAAAAGTATTAATAGTAGTCTAGTGAATTTCTTTTTTTTAAATTTTTTTTTAATGTTTACTTATTTTTGAGACAGAGACAGACAGAACATGAACCAGGGAGGGTAAGAGAGAGAGGGAGACACAGAATCTGAAACAGGCTCCAGGCTCTGAGCTGCCAGCACAGAGCCCAATGCGGGGCTCGAACTCATGAGCTGTGAGATCATGACCTGAGCCAAAGTCACAGGCTCAACTGACTGAGCCACCCAGGCACCCCGTGAATTTATTTTTGATAAATTTCGGATATTAGTATTTAATGGTCTATTATTACGTAAAATTTTAATGCATTGTGGTATTTCTTTCCATTGAACTATAGTTGACATACAATGTTACAGGTGTACTACATAGTGATGCAACAAGTCTAGATGTAATGCTAGGCTCACCATAAGTGTGGCTACCATCTGTTACCACACAATGCTATTACCATACCTGCATTATGGTACCTGAATTATGCTTTGTCACCCAGATAGTAATCAAAAAGTATGCAGTATGTTGCAAAGTTACTTTTGTGACTTATAAGGGAAGAAATGCCAAGTTTTAGGACATCCTTGACACTTCAGATTT